AAGAGCTCTCAAGCAACACTAAGTTTAAGAGTTGCTGGGCTCCAGCTTGGCAAATACTTAGCGATTTCTTACAAAAGAAAGCAAGACGTGCGCTCAAATGCCCCGCTTTGCCCCAAAGACAGCAAGCCTGAGACTTCGAGAAGCAGCAATGCAACCCCAAAGCTCACAGAAACACAGACACACACACAGACCCACACAGGCAAGACCCGGACTGAATCAAAACATTGCCCCTTTTGCCATCTACCTCCACACCCCTTGCAAAAGATATATTTTCTATATATATATATGTATATCTATATATATATATAGGGGGAAAAAAAGACTCAGCACAGACTTTTAATTAAAAAAACCCACCCTGCATGGATCTTAGTGCCTGAAAAGAAAGCCCAGGAAGCTAAAAACAGTGTTCTGCCCAATTGCTTTTTACCCTCAGAGGCCGGGGGTTCAAATCCTTTTAAAATGCTCCCGTAAGTTCATGATCAAAGTTAATATTTGTCACGATGGTGTGCTTTTAAAATTTCACAGACTCTAAGATACTGTGTCTGCGTCTAACATCCCCATTTTTTCAAAGAGCTTTCCCATCGTAAAAATTCTTCTCGTTGGAAGAAAGAGCTTTGTAGGTTATAATAAAATCCTTTGAATGCTTATAAAACTCCACATAAAATTTGACCGACAAAACATACGGGCTAGTGCCTTAACCTTTCCATTTACTGCTCTACCTACTCGAGTTGCTGTTTTTGCTTCCTTCCTTGTTGACAGAAGAGGACGAGGCTGAAGACCCTGGGTTTGTGTTCTCCTCTTCATCTTCCGGGTCCATGCCCTGCTCTCCTCGGGTTGACAGTGCATTGGGCTGGGACTCGGACTCCAGCTTGCTCTCGCCCTTCTGGAGGCAGTTCTCGGGCGGGTTCTCCGACCCGCAGTAGGCATTTTCGAAGAAGCGGTCAAAGCCTTGGGGCAGGACAGTGTTTTTGTTCATGCTGGAGTAGAATCCCGTAGATGGAGGATGGTTGGAGCTGGGGTGGTGGTGGCTGTACACGCTCTCGTTTTTCATTAGCATTTCGGTCATGGTGGAAGGCGGGATACATTCCCTGTGCATCAGATCTTCTGCGGAATAACACGATGCGTAATTGCTTCTATGGTGCCATTTACTAGAGGGGTCTAGCCCGTAGGAGACCTCTCGAACTGGCTGCACTTGCGAGAGGTTAGTGGAATAAGGGTAAGAGATTTGGCGAGAGGGGGCCTGTGGCAGGAAAGATGACACAGTTGAAAATTCTGGGACGTAATAGGTGCAGCTGGGGAGGTAGAGATTAGAAGCGCAACCTGCTCTGTCTCCAAAGTCAGCGCTCCGCTCTTTACGCGACTGAGAGCAGAAGTTTCCTAGGTTCACTGAGTTAAACATCTTTCTCCTTTTCTTGCTCCTATGGCTAGATGTTTTGGATCCGATGTGCAGAGGGGGAAAAATTTGGGGAGGCGAGATGACGCGCTATCCGTCTTAGTCGCTCCAAGGAGCACGTGATCCAAAGTAGATATTGTCATATATCAGTTTGGAGCACTTAGACGCGTAGGAGTGGTTGACTTAGGTAAGAACTCAGAGGTTCAAACGATTGGTTTTCAAACACCGCAGAAACATTATGAAAATCAATCGCAGATTTGTATTCATTTTCTTCAAGGCACACCCCTCGTTCAGCATTTCAAAGCAGAGGGCGAGGACGAGGGGTGGCTTGTGAAGTTTTTTTTTTTTTTTTTCTTCTTCTTCTTCCTTCCTTCCCTTTCCCAATTTGGATTTTGCTTTCTATTTTTCACATGGATTCGGGGCTGAGCTGGGGGGGCTCTTTGGAGAGGTGGGAGTGCGGGGTGGGGGGTGCGTGTGGAAGGGAGGGAGGGTCTTAAAGCGATTTGGACTGTATTTGCCACCGTGCTTTTTAATTCTGATTTTTTTTTTAAAGATTTGATTTTTTCCATGCTAGGCAGCTTGTGGGCGTGTTAATGCACAGCTCTGTACGTAGGCTCACTTTAAAAAAAATTTTTTTTAAAAAAGCCCCGAGAATGCGCTGGAGATGCCTAAGTAAGTTTTCCAACATTTCTCAACATCTTGCTACAGGGCTGAGTTCACCTCTGTCCGGACCACGGGGCTGTGCAAGTCGCAGTGAATATATATCTCGATATATCTATATCGCTATAGGGGAGTTGGGGGGGGGGGAGGTGGCTAATTAGCAGGCTTCTAACCTCGGCTAATTACGCGGTGCATATTAACTATGCATAAACCAAGGTGGCCGGACTTAGAGGGGCTCTACCCTATGAAGGCGGCTTAAAGTTTCAAACTTTCAAGTTCCCTCGGACTTCAACTGAGCCATTTCGGGCCTGGGCTTAATGACGTTTGATATCGAAGTAGCTATATATCAGGGCACAGAGCAAATGAGCGAAGTCAATGCCTAATAAATATTCGAAAAACCTCCTTTAATGTTTGGTTAAATATTTATTACGTAAGAGTGGCATAGTGAATATTTAATGCAATTGTTTATTGTCAATCAATGAATGCCCGTCCGAGATTACTAGCAGCCTTTATTCTTCCAGCCGAATTAAAAAAAAAAAAAAGGGGGGGGGGGGATAGCAGAGGTTCTTATTAAAGTCATTCGTCTTGTATTTTCCGCCCCGAGAGCCTTTGACTTCCCTGGATTTTGCCAGGTTTTCTGGCGGAGCACATGCTAGAAGTGCTAGCAGAGCCTCGGCGAGGTTTGCAGCCAGCTGCCAAGCTCAACTCTGCTTTCCAGCGCTAGGCAAAAGGTGTACCTGGAGGACAGATAAAGACAATCCCCTCGCCCTGCGGTGACTCCATTTCCAAGAAGTCTGTTGCGCTAATGTCAATGCTTAAAACTCTCCGACCCACCAATTGCCCTGTGGCCACTACCTTGTAATCTAATGGGATTTGCACCTGGGTTGACACTGAGAGGAGGAAGAATAGAGGTGGCTTCTCTGGTTCCAGCTGCGCTGCCTGTGTTTTGCACACAATCATCATCATAATGCCATCTATGGTCGTGTAGCTAGCTCTATTTTTTCTTTTCCTTCCAGGACACCAGCTGGTTAATTTTTCTTGATACCTCCCTCCCCCTTCCCCCCCTCCCTATTGTTCTGTTATAAGGAAAATAAGTGCAATTTCTATTGTTTATACACCGATCCTCAACTCCATCCAACGGAAGACAGGTTAGGCACCTCCACCAAAACTCACACGCCGCCATACAGTCAAAATGCTTTTATTGAGTGTATCTTTTCCAGAGAAATCAAAAAGAAGAGAGAGAGAAGGGGAGGGGAAAAAAGCAAGGCACTCGATAAAGCAGGAACAATATTGCAAAGGGGCTCAGAAGCCTCTAATAAAGGGGAATTTATTGGTTTTGTATTTATTTTATTTTTATTTGGGGGACTGAGCAACAACAGGCAACTCCTCAAAGTAGCAATTAAGCTCGAGAGAGACATCAGATGCAAACTGTCCAGCTCACAAAATCTGCTCATTCAGCCTAGAAACGGTTCATTTTCATTTCCGCCGGTCTCTCTCTCTCTCTCTCTCTATATATATATATTTGTCTCCCCCGTTTTAGTCTCCAGACAGCTTCATTTCTAGGCAATATTCATAGAAATGCAGGGGGGGAATCCTTCCTGCACACGCTTCAGGGAAGAGGCGGAGGATGGCTGCAGCTGGAGAAATAATAAGACTGATAAGAGTAGTCATAATAATAAAGCTAATGAAATGAATAAGGGCTGGAAAATGTTGCTTATCTTGAGAGATTCCCCCCCCCGACAAGTCAGGATCTTTCAGCAGAGCTAAGATCGGAGCTGAAATCCGCTGGACCCTGCAGCCTAGCCGTCAAAACCAGGGTGTTTGCATTGCGATATGCCTGAAATTCAGTTTATTTAATGCGGAGTCTGGGGGCGAATATGGCGGCTGCCCCTGCTAAGAGAGGGGACTCTTTCTGGGTCTCCGAGCTGCTGCCCACCTTCATGCAACAGTGCCTTTCATTTGATTTGATTTTCTTATTTTTATTTTTATTTGTTTTTACCCTCCCGGATTTTTCTCTGGCTGGGTATGTCTGTCGAAAAGGCGCGGGCCCTCCTCATAAACCCTTCTTCTTTTTTTTTTTTAATAAGGGATCGGGGTGTATATAAATGGGTCTGAAAGGCAACCTGAGCTTGTGTCTGCCTCTCAAATGCACGGCTGGCTGATAAATATCAAGAAAAGCGCGCTGGCTATGGAGAGAGAGTCCCTTAGTTGGGTAATCTGCTCCATTTTATGGCTTTGAAGTCGTTTGGGGCGAAACTTTTAATTAAAGCGTCAGCAATCTTTTAACTTGGCTTTTTATGGACCAATATTAATACTAACTACAAACTAATAATGTTAAGCTATTGTTTATGAGCGTAATTATTCCCCACCCCACCACCACCCCCCAGTTCCCTTCTCTTTGCAACCTGCATGGAAGAGAAACGAACTCGGATGGGGATGAGCAATGGGCTAGTACCAAAAAAGTAAAATAAAATAAAATAATGCACATTTCCCAAGAAAGGTCCGGGGGGGTTGTGCTGTTCTTAAGGGCAAACCGAACAGCAGAGGTGGGAAAGAAGTTAGCTCAGTGGCTCAAAAGATGCGGGGAGCAGCTCCAGGAGATCTGTCTTGTAGGTGCATGAAGAATTTATTGCTCCGAGTAGGTAAATATCCCCGCACCAAGCCCTGGCGTCGTTTTGTTTTTTAAACCCAGTTTAAAGTATAGGATTTGCTGACTTCCTGCGAGCAGGAGACAGCTGTGGAGTCATAGCACTTGAATTTGACCACCAAAGCGACTACCATAAAAACCAGGATGAGGGCTGCAGTCTCGCATTCCTTTTGGTTCCCTTAAAAAAAAAAAGAAAAAAGAAAGAAAGAAAAGAAAAAGGCAAATGAGTTTGAAAAGCCAACCCGCCGGAGACATCCAGAATTTCAGCCCAGTTCATTTCACAACCGGGAATGCAAAAATATAGATATAGAAATGTATGTCTATGAGAAATGCAAATGCACACTCAAAATAAAATGAATTTGTTGTTGTTAAAAAATAAAGTCTGCTTGGTCCATCAAACACTCAGGGAAACTTGAACTGTGTGTATGGGGGGGGGGGTTGTTCTTTTTCCCCCTTCGAAATTGGATGTTTTCTAGATTATTTTTCCCTAAATACTTGAATTACTAGTGGAGGGTATTTTGGGGGGTCCTGCTCTGCCCGCGGACAGCTGCAGAGCAAACGAAAACAGAGCAGACACTGCCCAGAAGGTATCTCCCAGCGTTTCATTTGCAGTGATAACCCTGAATAGCAATCTAGCTGGCCCCTTGCTATTTTGCAAGCATTTCAAAATCTTTTGGGCTGACATAACCTAGGGGTAAATCTCCAAAACAGAACCAAAGGCATTTTCTTCCCCCCCCACCCACCCACCCCCACTCCTGCTTGATGACCTGAAAACACTTAACACATTTCAGAGAGTTTTCAGCAGGCGAATAGGCAGAGTGAGCCACGCCAGAAATGATTGCAAACATGAACTCCGAGGAGTTTGCTTGGGACAAGTCTCGCCAAACCCATACTGCAATTTTAGCCAAATCCTAACTTTGGGGTGTGAAAATTGGCGTGAGCTCGCGTAGATAAATACGGTCAGTTCCATTTTGATTTAGGTTAATCTTGCACTTGAACTACTCTTCATAAATCATCCCTGATTATTTTTCCCTCCAATGGGAGGAGAAGGTCTATTATATATATATAATATATATATCCCTTCCCACCCCTTCCGAAAAAAAAATCACGATCATTTTCATCCCATGTCAATTCGTAGCCACGTTCCCAGTTTGGACTGGTTCAAAAACTTTCCTCCCCCTGCAGCTCCCCTCATAAAGGGCTCTTTGTTGCAGATCGGCCCGTTCCAGTATGGAGCCCAGTGCTGGGGCAAGGAAAAATAAAATAAAATATCATTGATCCCAATCTGATTTACCAGAGCCACTTACTGCCTCCTCCCATGCGTTTTAAAAGGAGCTGTGTTCTCGAGATATCGGGTGCTTTATGTATAGATTGTATCTTTACTTAATTTCAGAGATTTGGCCAGAGTTTGCTTTGGCTCCCGGTTTTGGAAAAGGGGGCATTTGCCATTGCAAAGGGGCTGTATTCATGCCTACCCATTCCTTTCTCGTAGCTGCAAAGGCATCGAAATCATTTCGGGAAGAGAAGTCCTCTCTAGGAGCTGAGCTAGACACACTCTGGGACTTCTCTTTGCTATCTGTAATAAGCCCAAACTTCTGATGCCTAATGACTTCGGCCTGTCAGCTGTTGGGAAGCTGGTCCCCCCCCCCCCCCCCCCCCAAAAAAAAGAGGGGAAGCTGGTCCCCCCCCCCCCCTCCACAATACAGTAGGATAATGATTTTCTAAGAACAAGACTCAGATGGACTTCAAAAAAATGTGTGGAAAACCACGCCAGTAAACAGATTACTAGAGACTGCATCTGTACACAGGAAATCTAGAGAGGGGAGACAATAGCTACAAGTGGAAAGCTCTTGGAAAAAAAGATTATTATCCCCAAATGACAAAGATAAATTTAATTGGATATAAGCCAGCCTACTAAAGAAAACTATATAAGCTGTGAACAATTCAAAGGGAAAAGGGTCTTAGATCTTCCTTAGACCTGAGCTGCAAGTTCAAAATCATGTGGACTCAATAAAGATAAAAGGAGATCAGCTATGCTTCCCAACCACACGCAAAGCAGCGATTGCCGGGCCAGGAGGGGGTCGGATTCTGATACAAATTAGCCCGCAGACACTCGGAGGATGCTTCTTCTGAAACCAATAATCACGCAATAGGAGCAAGGCTCGTCGCTGTTTAGTTCCCAGCCCTGACTTCTCCAGCCCCATCTCACGTTAACAACGTCTGGGGCTCCCCATTCAGTCTGCGGGCGTTCAACACAATCCTTCGGATGATTTTCTTCCCTGCCCTAAAAAAACCCGAAACAACATTTAGTGGGGGAAAAAAAGACTGTGCTTAAAAGTAGGGAAGTGAAACTTCGCGATAAATTCGCCTCTCCTGGAGTCCCCTTGGAGAAATGAAGCCGCCCAGGGTTAAGGTTTCTACTGCACCCCTTCCCTATAAAATCCCTACAAAACTACACCCCCCCCCCATAAAATAATAGAAAAATCACTCTGTAGAAAACACCTACCCCCGTAGTAAGAACAGGGTGGATTTCTTTCAAAGGCTCCTTGGGGGTTAACATGGTCAGTGGTTCTGGAAGGTCAAAAAAAGCTGCCTAAAAAGTCGGATACGGGGTGGCAGGAAATTCGCTTCCCGCTGGGGACCCCCGTATCTGAGCCCAGGTGGAAAATTCCGAATTAAAGCCGAGCGGACAGTCGGGAGGCTTATTAAACATGCAGGCGCGTTAGCACGCGTGGCATTTAATCGATAGGTTTCCAGGAAATCATTTCAAAGTGCTCCACTGTGATCTGCTGGCTCTTGTATCTCTCTCCCTCCAGCCGGCAGCGGGTGAAGTATTTCTCTCCGGCTCCCATTGATCAAAGTAGGATCTCAACCTTTTATGGGATAAACTTCAATAGTTCTCAATTTACGTGAGAGCCGGTCCTAGAAGCTCGCTCCCCATCCCCACATTCATCAGAATAAAATGAAACAAAAGCCTTGAGATAGTCAGGGGTGACATTTTGCAAACACATAGTTCAGGTTTAAAGGATGAATGTTGCTTGAAGTGCTTTTTATTGTGGCGTGAGATCTATCTATCTATCTATCTATCTATCTCATTACACATATCCACCCACATCTCCCTTTAGATATAAAATATGTGTGCCTAGAAAAATACATGCTTGGAAAATTCAAACGACATGATTTGCCAGCCCAGATACTGGTCGATACTGTAGCAATAACACGCCAATGCAAGTCCAAATCTGTTGCGCTCTTTTTAAAAAGTTCCTTCTTCTCTCGCTATCTCGACTCGTCAGAGTTTGAGGAGTTCATCTTCTGCAAGAGAGATGCTATTCAAATCCTTTCCTTCTATGAGGGGCAAGCCTGGAGGGCTTGAGGAAGGCAAAGGACACCTCCGTTTACGAAGAATATACATATATTTCATTCGGTTGATATTACATGTGTCCTTCCAAAACTTGGTGTAAAACTTGAGAATTATGGATTCGAAACTGATGGAGGGGACTCATATCCTCACCTCTTAACTGCGTGAACTTTTCTTTCTTGCTTGCTTTCTTGCTTGCTTTCTCTCTTTCTCTCTCTCCATCCAACAGATATATAGGGAGTCTTCATATATAAACGTGTGTGCATCCTGTACTTAACTACCGAGGTATAAATATCCCACGCTAACTCTATAGAGGTATCTATTCATTATGTGGGCACACATATTTAGACAAATATCTCTCGAGTTATGCATTTTATAGGAAAATAGCCATGTATAGTTTCCCTCGCTCTCTCTCCCCCTCTCTCTCATTCTTTCATATGGCTATAAAAATAAATTTGCGCCTAGACCAGGGCTGATGAGATGAGTGTCTGCTCGTCATTGGAAATGCTCAGTATTAAGAGCTAGTTCGTGGACGTAGTGTTATTACTCGAGAAAGGAAGACGGGAGAAGGCCAGGAATGAAAGATCCTCACTAGTGCATGGAACAATCACCAGGGCTGAACGTTAAATGTGTAGGTTTCTTTCAGCTTGTTGGGGTTTTTTGTACCTCTATTTTTTCCCCAACAAAGCAGAAAAATAGAGGCGACCCCCTCCCCTCCGAGCTCCCCGCCCGGGCACGGAAGCCCAAAGCAAACCCGATATTCCAGCGAGCTCTGCACGAGCCAGGACTGGATGTATGCACATGTGGCTTGGGTCTGGGAATGGAGGCACACATTGCATGGATTAAGTGGCTTTTGAAACTGTCATTGCAAGATCTATTCATTTATCTAATGGACCAGAGGCAGCTAGCTTTGTGTGTGTGTGCGTGCGTGTGTGACCCCCCCCCTACCCCCAACAAAGATCTCTAGAAAAGCAAAATACACACATTTTCGGAGGCGTCTACCCGACTGGCTGGGACAGGTCCATCTTCTCTTCCGAGCGGGTCGTGGCCTGAACTCCAAGCCACGTCAGCTAAAAAAAAAAAAAAGAAGGAAAGGGGGAGGAAAAAAAAGGAAAGAAAAAGAAAAGTTTGGGGGCTGTGGGCTCCCAGGGGCTGTGTGAGATAGGGGCTTTCTCGAGGGGGCACAACTCTTGTTTCCCTTCCTTGTTTCTGGGCTCTGCCATCTGTCCTAAGACCCACTGCCTGAGCTCATACTCTGTTTTTTGGAGAGAAAATGTATATACAGAAATCAGCTCCGGATGGGGAGGGGAAGGGGTGAGGACGGTGGGCCAGAGGGTTTGGAGGACTGGGAAGCTCTTATGGGTTTCTATTTCCCCCTGCCTATATCCTTCCCCCCCCCCCCCATCCTTCTCTCTCAAGTTGGGGGTGTCTTGCCACCCCACCAGGCCCCTCAAGTATCACAAGCCACAGACCTGAAGGCACAGTCCCCCTGGTCCTAAATACTCCCTGCAAACTAGCTCCGGAAAAGATTTGCAAATAACTCCTGGCTCCTATGCCTGGGGTTTTGTTTGGAGTTTAAAAAAATAGTGTCTCGAGTCGGGTTATCCCCACCTCCCCTCTCCTTTTATTTAATACTTACATATATATATATTTTGAGGCCAAAAAGTCTAACCTCCAACCCCACACCCCCCTCCCTTCCTGCTTCTCTGTCTCTCTCCTTACCGAGTGAACTTCATTGTTTTCTGGAGGAAATGGTAATGTTCGGACATTAAACCCTAATTGGGCTTTTCTTTATGACGTTTAATTTCCTCCATGGCAGACGTGTTTGCATCTTGCTGGAAAAAAAAAAAAAGAAGAAGAAGAAGCTTGTTTGAAGTCTGCAATCCAAGAAGGGGGGGAGGAAGGGGGGGTGGAAAAAAAAAAGAAACTTTCCAGCACAGCGATCGGCAATGAAGAAGTCTGGTCACAGCCTTGATCCTTCTATCTTCATCCTCCTCGTTGCCCTCACACAGCCCCCCCCCCCCCTTCTTCTTGCTTGACCTCCCCCCAGAATTAAGGAGGCTTCTTTAAGAAGCAGCACTATGTTTACTAGCATAAGAAAAGCCATTGGCATTTAGGCGTTTTGCTACAAAGCCCTGAAAATGGAGGAGCGCGGAATGCCATATACGGTAGGATGCTAACTTGACCTTCACTTTGTAATGGCGCCCCCCGCCCACCCAGACAGACAGTTGTAAACAGAAGTCATCCGGCAAGGGGATTAGCCCAGGAGCGGAGCGGGGAGCCCGGGGTGGCTGGGTCTGGGCTGAGGCTGAGCCTGCAGCAAAGAGGGGTGCTCCAGTCCGCACCTTGGACCACTAAGTGTGGACTGGGGAGGGAGGGGGGGGGTGTACTGGGGCATTTCTATGCCTTCCCCGGGTGTGTGCAAGAGAGAGAAGGGGCTTTAGCGACCACGGTGGCCTGAGCCACTCGCGTGTTTTCTCTCTTTTTTTTTTTTAGCTCGAGTGAAACCTCCTTTCTAGCTTCCCTTTATGTATTTGCATTGCTTTCAAGCGCTCGGGATTATTATGATGTTTGGGAGGGGTTGGAGTGGGGGTGGGGGCTGAAATATTAAAGCAAGTATTCCCACCCAAACCGTCCCGGGTGGATTTGGGATTATAGCTTGATTTTATGTTGCAAATGCCTGAAGCCAGCGGTAGATCTGGAGGATGCACCCGGCTAGGAAAGCTCCGCTTCGCTTAGCATGGGGCGGAGTGGGGCTTTATCTCAATCAAGAACACACACACCTCTCCCCGCTGTTTTTTCCCCCCTTTAATTGAAGGAAACCACCTTTGGAGGCTTCCAGCAGCCTAGAGAAATCAAGTGTGTTTGCAGATGTGTGTATATGGGACCGCCTTTGTGTATGTGTGTGTATGTGTAAGGGGGGGGGGGGGGAGCGATTCCCGTTTCATCTCATTCACTTTGTCTCTATAAAGAGATAATTATATATCTACTTCTTCAGCTGTGTAGTAAATTCTATTCGGCTGCAATTATAGATGCATATTACCGTTATAAATACCTATAAAATCAGCGTTTGTGCTCCAGCGGGGAGGGAACGGGAAATAACAAACGGATGCGCGTTGAGGACTCACTTCGGAGCCGCGGGTGGACGGCTCCAAGTTTGGGGGCCGAAATCTCTCAACAGGCTGTAGAAAGCCCCCGATTTGCAAAGGGGCTGAGTGCCCCCTGGACTCCCGGGCTGGTTCGCAGGAGCTCTGGAAATCGAGATCCCGGTTCCGAGTCTGAATGTTGCCCTCCGTGGGTAAAGCTTGAAAGCCCACGTGCAACACATAGGTTTCCCTTTGCACACACACGGCTTATACGTGCACACACGTCTTACATCCTTGTACAGATAACGTGCATAGATGTAATGGGGATGTGTGTGAAAAGAAATGTGCCTACATGTGTGCACGGATGGGGTACACAGGCTTTACATCTCTAAACACATGTGGCTTGGGGACAAATGTCAATAGATATAGAATATAAATCCTTGACATATTCGCCCACATTTATGTATACACACACACACATATATACATCCGTATGTTTGCACACACACGCATATTTATCTATCTGTAAATGTGTGTGAATAGATCTATCCATGTGTGCATATATATGTATGTACATATATATGTAAGTGTGTGTGTACATATATGTATATGAACACATATATACCTATGTATGTATGTATGTATCTCTCTCTCTATATATATATATATATGTACCCATATATACATATATCTATATATGGGTGTATATACACAATATATATGTGCATATATTTTATATATATATTAAGTGTATATATATTAAGTTTATATATCAGTGTGTATGTATGTATATATGTGTGTGTGTGTGTGTGTATATATATATAAACACACACACACTGATATTTATATAACTATATAGGCTGAGATATAAGTTGATCTATTGATATGTAAAGGGTATATATCAATGCTATATAGTCTATATATCTGTGTGTGCATGTCAGTATATGCATGCATGTCAACATTTATATGCATGCGTGTAGATATACCGCATGTTAACACACATACATGTGTATACATATATACGAAGGCACACGAGACTTTATTGTATTTTCTATTCCAGATCTAGGCTCCAAATTCTTACCACGAGCCAAAGTTATATCGGGGAATGACTATTTCTCCGCCGTCTCGCTGAGAAAATGTTCTGGTGGGAAGTATGCCCATCTGTGATATTATTTTTATTGGACCTGCGGTCCTTGGGAGATTGTTCATTGTTACCTTTGGTTTCCAACTGGATTTTTCCATACGCAGTTTTTTCAATGATTTCTCCCTTTCAGGCGACTCCTATCACCTCATAATAGTTTAATAGTGAATCATAAAAATAAAATGAATTTCCGCACGCCCTGTAATTATCAACATATCTCCTCTGAGCGTGATCATTGGAGAAGGTAAAGAGACCTATAGGCACAAAATACGAATATTTATTAACCCGATTATTATTTCTTAAAAATATCCGGATCAGGCTCGCTGTTTGTTGTGTTTGCATTGCTAACCCCTTCATAAGAAAAAAAGAAGCAGCAGCAAATCTCTTTTCAAACAGTAAATAGGATTATTTTCTTACCATGCATTTGGATTGCAGGCAGTACTATTTCCCCACTGTATGAATAAACGTTCAGGTGCGATTTATTTTGACTGAGGGAGAAACAAGATTTCTGCCCTTTCCTAATATAATAAAATAGGAAATCTTAAGGGAAGGGGGGGGATCCCTCTAAAATCCAAACTAGAAAAATATTTTTCAAAAATAGTCAGCTTAAGGTCTCAAAGAATCAAAGAAAGTGGAAAATAGCTTTTTCTGATGCCCGTGTTGAGGGGAACGATGGTTAGAAAGAGATTTATTGGGGTTCATATTTCTTTGCTCGGTTCTTTTTTGAATAAAAATAAAGGTGTGTAATGAAATCAGTCTCCAGGAAGAACGAGGCAGAGAGCCACAACGATGCATCCATTAGGAAACCGGTGTAATTTAGCCCCTGCGAGGAGCACAAAACCTCCTGATCTTTTTATCTTTCTTATCCTTTTCATCTTTATTATCACTCTTGTTAACAACACCAATGAGACTGGATACATATATCTCGTTTAAATGCAGTCATCCATGGAACCACTGTAGTCGCTAGCTACAGATATATTAATTAATTTATTCTCTCAACAGTAAAATATTGCTGTGTCTACTTGATACCTACCAAGTAATAAAAAAGAGGAGGGTTTTTTTTTCCCTTCTCTCTCTCCCCCGTCTCCTTCTGCACTTCATTAGGCTTTACCTATAAGTTTCTACTTGAAATGATTTGCTTAAACCTAATTACTTGCAATGCACTTCATTTTGCTCTCCCAGGGTGTGGAAGGTTTCAGAGCAGGGGTGGCTGGCTGAGGTGGTAAATGCTGTTAATTATTCCCACTCTGTCTTTATTTTATATTTATGAACCCGCACTTGCAAACAAAAGGCCTACTTTAGCAGGAAGGCATTGGCATATTAATGATAAGGGAGCGTGTTACTTAAAACGGTCACTATTACAGGAGGAAGGGCCCTTGCAAACAGTTCATATATCAAGGAAATATTTAAAATATCGACACCCGGGAGCAATCTTGGCTCGAGCTGGAATAAGGCTCTGGACCAACTCGGCTGAGGAGGAGGGAGTTTGCAGGAAGAAGAAGAATCATAATACTGGCAATGCTAAAGATCGTGCATCCGCTGCAAAATGCATTATTTTATTGGCAGTGTCTTAACAATAGCAACCTGATTGGGGGTGGGAGGTGGGGGGGAGGGGGTTGCAGAGGAGGGAAAGGATCCAAATATTTGCATGCCTGAACACAGGCATCTCGATAATGTTGGAGGAAAGCCCAATCCCCTGTTTTTTATTATTATTATTATTATTTTTTGCAGGCAGCTCTGTGCCCTGGCTGTCTCTTCACATCTATTTATGCTCGCGCCTGCATGAAATGTGGACTTGTAAATGGAGCCATGAGTGCATCCAGCCGTCCCTCCCTCCCCACGCACCTCGGCCTGCGGGTACTTTGCAAGGCGAGCCGCGAAGGGGTGCCAGGGTGCTCAGCACCTGGGGGAGCGGAGCCCAAAGCCAGTGCATTCCTGAATAGGAAGGCTACCTTTCTTCTTCTTTTTTTTTTTTTTTTGGATTACTGGCCAGATCTCAAGAGGGTTGTGGTGGGGGGTGGAGGGTGGGAGAAATGTAGCGGGGTGCGGGCAGTGAGTGGGGGGAAATCCCATCGGCTGCAAGACTTAGCAAGGAAGAAGGCCATGGCGAGCCTGGAGGCAGACAGCTCTGCCACGATGCCTTCCTGAAGTCCAAGACCAAGGCTGACTGACCCCGGCGCGATGGCCCATCTATCAACCTGGGAAGACATCCTTGCGTCTGGGAAGTAGGAGATACAATATTTCAGTTGTCTTATCCACTTCAAAGTAGCAGCGATTATGAAGGCTCCGGAAGCCCCATCGCTGAATTTATTTAAAAGCAAACCAGACAGTGTATTTTTTCCAAGGAGGGGGGAGTGGAGAGGGGAGGTGGAGGGGGATAATATATTTGCTCCTTCCCGTGTGTGCGCCGAGGGTGAAGTGGCCGAGAGTCTCCCCATCAAGTCTGCTCATGAACCCGCGTGTTTTATTTTCTCCTGCGCGGTTGACTCTCTCCTTTGCAACCTCCATTGGGGACGGAAGCATTCCTCTGCCCGGATCTTTTGTCTCGGA